TTTCACAAAAGTCGTGTGGTACAGAGCTGTGGAGACGACGACTCACGTGTTCTGACGAGATGCATCAAAGGGAATCTGAGTTGTTCTGTTGCGTCTGAAGAGTCCATTGCAGATGCGCATGTTCCTGAGCATTCCAAGTGACCTTGTCCACGTTGTTTTGTCCACAGCTGATTCAGTTGGGTTTAAATCAAAATCCGGATCGTTTGGGAGAAAATCGCATTCAGTATCTTTTAAACTGTTGAATATATTCCGCTTTGTCACCCCCACACTGCATTTAAATTGGAAATTTGTGCCAGACTGAGGCATCTCCTTTGCTCGGTTTTAACATGTCCTTTTCCGTTTCTGCAAATTCGCACTCCACAAGCCAAACTACTTATAAATTGACGGTAGTATGAGGAAATAAAGCTTGATGGTCGAATCACAAACAGCGTAGAATTTGGTTTCCGCGTTCGTGGTTGTTCTGTCAAGCCTACAGCACGTACTTCTTTTCCCGCTTCGACACATGAGACGTCGTAATTATCTGAATCACCATTTAAATTTATTTTAATTCCTTGTAAATCGCCTGGCTTTCGACACCGTAACCCCGTCCACCAACAGACTTCTGTCAAGAAAGTGGGCTCCAAACTCACAACCAGGGGGGTTTTTGTCTGTGATCGCTGTTCCCTGTGGACGATCTAGTAATGCGAATCTAGTTTAGGTATTGTTTAAAAACGTGCATGTATTAATGACACGTAAGGTTGCATCGATGGATTTAGGTGAATGATGCTTGAGGTGTCTGAGACGTGTTCGCTCTTCGCGTGAGAGCCACTCTGAGTTTGACAGGTGGAGTAGGAGGAGGTGGCGGTAACCCGTTAATGCAAGCCGTTGCTACTGTCAAATTTCGATGTGTGGTGTTGTCATGCTCAAGGCCTCCTTCACACACCGTCCACACTTAACGCGCACACACACACGCTCGCAATTGCTCTGAGAACAGGAATTAACAGGAATTAAATGATGAATTACCCTCTTCGGGCGCACGCGCTTCGCGTAGCTGTCGGAACTGAGTAAGAAAAATGGGAGTTTTGAAAAATCGTGCTTAAATTATTTCCCTCTAATTGGTCTCCAAGTAGAGATGTGTTTTTTTTCTATCCCATCATTAAGATTTATCCGTACGTCTGCATTTTTTAATCGTGTGTTCACCACAACATCTTTCCGATTTAAAGCAGACTTCATTTTGGCCACAGAATAGTCATTTTTGCGTGGTAAATTCACGATCGATAAACGCTTCGTCATCTCAAGGTCATCCCCTCGCCCTGGCGATCGATGCCTCGACCGCTAAATGGCTGCAAGATTATTGATTTTTTTTACGCCGACCGACCTGATGACGCACTTGTCATGCATGGTCGGTGATTAAAGGCCTCATTATGCCGTCAATTTGTCGGCGAGTTTGCTGTCGGGATTCCGTGGAAATTGAAAAAAATTGGCTGACAAAAGGGGCGATTTTCCACACAACTTAATTTACAAATTTGGCTAAACCTGTATTTAATTGTCGGTACAGTCATCAGTGCTCGTGGTGGCTTCAGCCCATCTGCTAAATGGCTTTTCAAAGTTATGGGCATATGGCGATAGGAAGGAATCGAGGTCTGTTGGGAGAATGAATTATTAACCCAGTTTCATGGTCTCGAGCGGTGTTTGATCAAGTGTGCCTCTTGCCAACATTTAAACAATGACCCACAAGCGATGCCGCCTGGACACGAGTTTAAACAAAAACCACCTACTGCAATTTAGGAGACAAGTTTTACCCATTGAGGATGGTTTCAGGGTAAGTTTGCACACACTGAAATGAGGTGTTGCCTTGACATGCTGGGGAATAACGCTATTTATCTATCCAAATGTGCAAATTTTGCTACTTGGCAACTATGGCTTCCGCATTTTACCGTCGTCAAATTATCATCGGCATGACACGAACTGTTCCCAAGTTGTGAAGACCCATTTAAATGGGGGTTGGCATGGCCTTAATTAGTTTTTCTTTTTTCCTTTGTGGATTGCTAAATAGCTTCCAACGATCGTCTCAAATAGGAATTTGTCGAATTTATGGGCACATTTTCAATTTGAAGTGCAGGTGGTTACAGGCTGAACTTGATTCCCATTCTCAGCCAATTCTGCGCGGTGTTTTAATCAACATCGCATATCCATGGGGTCTCTCGATTTAATCACTAGTGCCGAGTACAATGTGGCGGCCATTTCATGAACTGGTCAATAATGATTCCTGCTCTGAATTTCCTCCTTTCCTGCTCAAACCTGCCAAATTGTCGAACTAGTTGGGTGGGGTTTCTCCGCTCAAGGTCGCTTCAAGGTCAAACGTGGTGATTGGAGGAGTGCGCTCCTGTTAAACGACTAACGATTGCTTGGTGATCAAAGAAGTGGTCAACCTCCGTATGAACTGGGAGAAGTGTGTGCGTCTAAGACGTTTTCTAGAAAGCACGACTTTGAAAGAAGCCAAAGTCGCATTATTTGTTATGCTGCTTGAGTTGGAGTCACTGCGGGTGCGGACTCCTGCTAAACTTCGGCGCCAGAACGGAGACAGGCCCTTGTGTAGAGAGCTTAAGCGGCTTCATACAAAGATGCCCCTTCTGAGTATGCCCCATGCGGCCATGGTCACGATTAAAATGCAAAATACGTCTAAGGGTGAATGAGCCAATGGGGTAAGCGCGGTCAATTTGAATGCAACTAATGGTGTGCATTGGCACAAAAAATGTGAGTATAAACTTGGGAAAATAATCTTTGGAAAATATAAATGTTGCCATCATAAACATCATCGCCTCGTGCGGTTTAAGTGTCAGGAAATAGTGCGCACGAACGTGAGCAGAAAGTGACTGGAAATTTCTACAGGCGAAATGTTTTTCCCGTTTGAGAATTTCCCACAATCACCCCAGAGTCATGTCTTGCCGCAAACCAAACTTTTGTTTGAATATTCCTGCTTTACAACCGCCGATCTTGACTTCCTCATGCGAAGTAAACTCTCCCAGACACGAACAGAAAGCCCCCTTTAAAGTTGTTTTTGCCACTGACTGCTCCAAGTTTCCACCCAAACGCTGTGATCACACAAATAAAGTAATTTTGCAGGATCTTAGTATGAAAATGTACTGGAATTTGTGGGTTTGGAAATTCGAAAATCGGTTGCTAGAGTGTACCGCCGGCCATGTGACGCCAGCAGATGATAGGTATCAATTAACTCATCGATGTTTTAGTCTCAACACGGAGACGGGAAAGTTGTGGCTTAAAAAAGATCCCTCTTTTACTGCCTGTGGCGGCCAACCAGGTGATATTCTGGTTTGCGTTTAGTTTTGCACAAACGCAACGGGCTGCGACAGTGTGGGAGATGGAGAGAGGGAGAGAGTTGGGTCTAATAATAGGCTTTGTTCCCCTCAGTAACCTGCCATTAACAATAACTACTTCTCCTGACCCCCTGTGACAGTAATACTTATGACCAGAGAGTTTAAACACACCATGTGCCTAAACTTTTCCTGAAAATCGGATGGATTTGTTAGGGTAAGGAAAACCCGCACGCAATAGTGGGCGCTTGTTTTTTATCTGTGCTCCAAGGAGTAGAAAGAAACCAATCGAAACGCGATTGGCTTGTGAAGGAGAACCCAGTCGCTGCTTAAAGAATACCTGTCTTTGTAGTGTTTGCAATCACTTCGTGCAGCCAATCGATGCCCAGGAAGGCCACGAACGTTGTTCATTGGCTACAAGATTATTGATTTTTATGAAATCACTACTACCCATTTTGACCAATCGACGCACTGTATGCCAACCACGCGAAATAGCGGAGTTCTTGTCGTCTTGCCTTGTCGAATTTTCACCAGATTCTTTGCTGCTATACTCTAAAGGTGTCAACGAACACTAGGCCTACTTGTAGGGAAGAGGCTTCTACTTTTTCATCAAAAAGCAACCGAGTTAACCCGTGCAGTCGTCCAATCATCTACGCACTTGGTGACGTTGGCTGAAATGCAAGCGGATAAAGCATTCAAAAGAGAGTCAGCCAATGAGATGAGTGTGCGCCTGATTCGAATTTCGAAAAATGGCACCTAATGACATAAAATAGTTCGGGAAAAAAATTAAAATTGTCAATTACACACAAATTATGCGTTCTTGGGAAAATTCTGAGGGTGGATGCTTCGTTGGATCAAGTAACCAGTGCACACACAGATAATGAGTCATATAGTTTCTAAAAAAGTGGTTACTTCGTCGAGAAGTTGAATCACAGACGCTCCGCCCAGTTCAGCGCCACTTTTTTCGTGGAATGCCAAGGTATTTTTTACTAATCATTTTCTGGCTGAATGCAAATCGACTTTCTGTCGAGTGAATGGAATCATTTCATTGACCTTTATCTGCTGTTAGTAAAAGTCAAAGCCAATCAACTTCCGACTAAAAAAAAGCCGACATGTTAGCTTCTGTCTGGGGTAAAATTGGTCTAAAGAGCCTGGTGAGATGCACTTCCACCAATTGGCATTCTCACTTGTGGTCTCAAGTCCTCCGTTTTTTCCACCTAGAAAATCATTTTAACCAATGGTAGCTAAGCGTGACTTGGAAACCGACTAATGACCACAAGCTGAATGAAATGCTTCAGTGATTTCGCTTCCCTTCCGCTACAATTTGTTGAGAAATTGGATGCTTGAAGACGGTTAACGTGTCCAGGTTACTTGCAGAAACGAACGAAATCTGTATGAAGTGGCAATTCAGACAGTGCCCTTGCAATATCGTCGCTTTTGTTATGGGGCACTAAAATTCTTAATCACCAGTTCCATGAAAGCTGAACTGAAATTTCGTAATGGTTTTTGTGAGGCTACAGACATGACTAACACGAGCCCTTGTCTTCCAAGGCATCCACATATATCCACAACTTCGCTTCTACGCCATATCGTCACGGTCTTCTTTTGTCGAATTAATCATTAGCCTTACCAGCCGCGCAAGACGTTTCTGCTCCTGCCACCTCTTAATTAATCGTCAATTCCTTTTTACTCTAAATCCTTTCCAGACACAGATTTTTCGTTGTCTAATTCGTTACACCAGCCCTGTCGTGTCCTTCCATAAGCGTTTCCAGGCGCAGATTGTTCCGCGCCTTCATGAATCACACCATTTTGGCTTGGAACGCCGTCGCGGTAATCAATCAAGAGGTGTAGGCTGGGTGCGTAGTGGACGAACCACTGGCGCACGTTATCCACTGGACGAGAAAATTTACGAAAAAAAGCCAGCAGGTAACCCAGGATTGTTTCAGTCATCCGAAAAAGCATAAATCATGGCGCAAGGCGAGAGGGAGAGAGAGAGAGACACGCCAAGAAACATTCATAGAATACAGCGTCTGCACACAAAAAAACCCACGGAGCTTTCCCAGCTGAAAATGTTTCCCGAAAAATTTTGGAGTGCGTTCACAGACTGCAGACAAACCCTGCAATTAAACTTCATCGAATTAGGCGTCCAAAAGTTGAGTTGATAGTCAGAATTAAAATTCAATTAAATTTACATTCAAAACACTTTTTTCACGGCAATTCCGCACCCAAATACTCGATCAATGCCTAAGCATGCGAACCACGAACGCCGTTCATTGGCTACAGGATCATCGATTTGTATGCAATTGTGGTGACTCAGTTTGACCAATGGACGCACTGCATCCAGCATGGACTAGCACTCATGAGGGATCACGTTGTTCCTCGAAATGAGCCCTACCAAATATCCGTGCACTTCAACGCTTCCATTAACCTGCAAGGCCAGTCGCAAGTCACTTCGGGCATCTGATTGCTCATTTAGAAATCAGTTATGCGTACTGAGAGTTACCACTTCAAACACCGCATTCCAGAGACTATGCTGAGGGATTTGTCATGTGGAGACATTTGCGTTCCTGCAACAGTCCCCGCCTATGCTTCATCAGATGAATTTGCATTCTCTAAGGTGTATCATCACGAAAACAGGTGATCATGCACTCAATCTAATCTCGTCAACGATGACTTCACATTGCTCATTACCTCCTTCAGTAGCCACCAAACACACCAAGTAACCAACCCATCAATGTTTGCTATTTGTAGACGTTGCACACCGTGATAAGATTTGCAGACAGTGCCGCCTCACAGACTTTATCAAATTTTGTAGCATTAGTTGAAAGCAGTGCATTGGTAATCTGCGACATTGACACCCTCGATACATACGAAACGGGCTGTGTACCGACTACCCACAATACGTTCCGTTCACCA